CTGCTGGTAATCCTGTCTTCCCCTTGTAGTGTTAGAGGAGGTTGGAACATGTGGCCTCCTTGTCCTTTTAGCAGATGCATAGCAAAAATACCTGACTAAGCCATAAAGTAGCTCAGTGGTCTTTAATAAATTCTTAAGTGAATTCATTTTTATTCACTTTTTGACCACTCAGGTATAAAACCAACATTATTTTCAAAGGCTTATCATAATATTGATATTTCTAACACATCAATGATCTCAAATTCCTTGCCTGATTAAAAAAGAATTGTTTATTTCTCAGTAAAATACAGATACCATCACACTTTGATAGTAATAATAATATTCTTTCACCTTTCTCTGATAAAGTTCCTCTGGAGTTGTAGACCTCAAACTCACAAGGCGGTAGTTTTTAGTAATGGCTCGTGGGCGTTTCCGTGGTGGTGCAAATCGCTCCATTTCAGTCACTAAATAAAGGCCTTGTTTTATATAACCAAAGTAGCGAGCCTTGGCAGATATCTCATGATCAGAATCAGAATCCTCTTCTCCTTCATCATCTTCTCCAGACCTGGTCTCCAAACGAGATCTTTTGGGGGCAAGTTTAATCTCACACTGAAAAATTGAGAAAGAATATGTTACTTAGTGAGGAACTAAAGACAACTTTTTAGAGGTGGTAACAGAAAAAAAAAATTAATTCTCTCTGGTTTAATGAACTGATTACATCAGCCATCTGCTTAGACTTAAAATGGAATTCAAAGGACCCAAACAACAAATATAAACATGAACAGCTCCAAAATTATACATATTGATTACAAACTCCATATTTCTAAAACTAAAGCTTCTTTTTTCTGGTGGCATAGTGGATAAGGCACTTGACTGCTAACCAGGAGGTCAGCAGTTCAAACCCACTAGCTGCACCATGGGAGGAAGACTGGGTGATCTACTTCTGTAAAGATTTACAACCTCGGAAACCCAACGGGGGTCACTATGAGTCAGAAATGACTCGATGGCAGTGAGTTTGGTTTTAGGTTTTGTTCTTTTTGTTTTTTTGTAAAAACATGGCCTATAGTATTTTTAGAGAAACAAAGGTGCCGAGAATATTAATTTCTTTTACATTTCTCTGCCTGCTATGGAAAGATGATTTCTTGTTTCATCTATTTAGAATATGAACAAAAAGTTATTTATTGTTTGAATGACAATAGCTCTTTCTCCCTATTTGAAAAATGTGTAACAGCTTCACATAGTTTTGAATCTGAATTAGCTTACATTTTAAACCACAATCCTCTTTAAAGAATATCTTTAGACTCAGGAACAAACTTTGGGGTAAAACACAGTTGTCAATCTGCAGTGAAGTGAGAGCTACTGAAAGTTGTTACCAATGAATGACTTAAAATAAGAATTTTAAATGATCAAAATATAACTTTAAAGTACTAGCCTCTGTCCTCAAGTCTTCTGTCTTGATAAGTATCTTTTTCTTACCAAAAAGAACCAAAGTTCTTGGGGTGCCAAACTTTATGGAAATAGGTTAAAGACTATATTTCATAGGTAGAAATGTCATTCCTTTTAAAATGACTAATATACTCAAAAGATCTATAATTTCAGTAAAGAAGAAATTTTACGCAGAATCAAGTAGATTCTGACTCATAGCAACCCCAAAGGACAGAGTACAACTATCCCATAGAGTGGCCAATGCTGTAAATCTTTACAAAAGCAAACTGCCTCATCTTTCTGTCACGGAGCACCCAGTAGGTTCAAAGTGCCAATCCTCTGGTTAGTAGCCTAATGCTTTAGCCATAGAACTCCAGAGCTCCTGTAGAGAGCATAATAACTATAATTTTTTTTATTCTTTTATAATGTCTGTTTTATTTACTAAATTGTTTTTTCTTTTTCCCTTTGATACTGCACCATGTGTCATTCTAATCATCGATTTTTGTCTGTAAACACAAAATTAGATCACGGGATGAATAAAATTTTAAAAAATCTGATGTTTAGAGAGAGTGAGATGCTGGGTCTATGGGCTCTGAACCATGGTCATGGGGGTCATCAAGATCAATTGGTATAAAGTATTAGACAAAAATATTCTTCTACATCCTAATTTGGTGAGTAGTGACTGGGGTCTTAAAAGTTTGCAAGCAGCCACCTAATATGCGACAATTGGTCTCTCCTTGTCCAGAGCAAGAAGAACGAAGAAAATCAAAGACGTGTGGAAACAGTTATCCATAGAACTAGTGCACCATGCAAACCTCAGACTATAAAACCCTGAGACCAAAAGAACTAGATGGTGCCCACCTAGCAATGTCAACCACTCAGATAGGGTTCAGTGTTAAGAGATTCTGGAGAGAGTAGGAGAAAAACATAGAACAAAATTTAAAATCATAAAAAAGACCATGCTTACTAGCCTGGAAGAGACTGGTAAAACCCCCAAGACTATAGTCCATAGTTAACCTTCAGGCCTGGAACTGAACTCACTCCTGTGGTTTCAACCAGACAAGGTGAATATTTACACAAGGTAGGTACACTCTATGGAACAATCAACCGTGGGAGATTAGAAGAGCAGAACTTGCAAAGGGAGATTGCTCAGAGGGCAGGAATGCATAGGAAAGAAGGATATTGGGAAAAGGCAACAACAGGGAAGAGCTGGTAGAGAGCAGTGACATTATAGGGACTGCAATCAATGTCTTGAAACAAAATGTGTACAAACTAATGAGTGGAAAATGAATGTGCTCCATAAACTCTCACCCAAATCACAATTTAAAAAAAAAAATCAGATATTTAGATTTTTGGTGAAATACATGTTTACTCTCAGACATACCAATTGCTTTAAAACGGAAACGATTACCTCCAAAGTTAAAAATCCTCCATCATGGGTAGCAGTGACTTGAGGTGATGGTTCAAACCATTCACAGGATCTTCCTAATAAATTCTTCAAAGTTTTCACAGATGACACAGTCAAAGCACCAGAACAGCGAGCCAAAGTAACTGCACTGTCTGCCCACCAATTTACATCTATCAGTGGGTAAAATGACTCTTTATCTAATAGGGGAAAAGTAAATTTATATAAATGCTTCAGCAAATATGGTTTAAATAAAGGATAATTAGTCCAATAATCTACTTCCAAACGATATTCACCTATATTTTTTGGGCCCTAAAAGGTATACTGAGTCCCTGAATGGCACAAGCAGTTAAGTGCTTGCATACTAAGCCAAAAGGTTGGCAGTTCCAACGTACCCAGAGACAAGCTGGAGATCTGTTTCTAAAAGACCACATTCTTGAAAACTCTAGAGAGCAGTTCTACTCCACGTACATTTCTACTATGCATACACAAGATCACCAGGAGTCAGAAATGACTCAATGGCAACCAACAAAAACAACTACAGTCATCACTCAAATTTTTACTCAGGTATGAGGTATGAAATTGTAGTTCATTTAATGACTAATCTAAGTGCCAACAACTTGTCCAACATAGTCCAAGGTTCTAGGGATACAGAGGAGAATAAATTAAGGTCTTTCTCTCAAGAAACCAATATATTCAGAAGAAAGATATGTCATCATTTTCAACATAGTAAGTTGGAAGGTAGTGTGTACAAAGTGTATGTATTATAAAATTTCTAAAAGGTTTCATAAAATGTCCATTCATATATCACTTTTCAGACAAACAAAATGGGAAAAGAATACCCATTAGAAAAATAAAAGAAAGAGATGAAATAGTTTTCAGTGCTGATTTCTTCTTAAACTTGCAACTCAGTCAGTCAGAGAAAAAAACCTTCAAGGCCAAAAAGAATTTTTAGGGATAAAAATGAATTATGGTTCACCAAACTGAGGCATTCAAAAAGAAATGGCATGACATTTGTTATAATTTTATTACATTTTTTGCAGTTCACTTATTATTCTACAAAGATCTTATATGCTTTAAAACTAATACATATAACAGTAATATATATATATATAAACACTAGACTAAGAAAAAAGAAAATAGGGGTTTAGCACTATGACAATAACTCATTTAATTAAAAAAAAAAAAAAAAAAAAGACCAAAATAAGTGATCACTTTTCTCTAGTTTACCCTTAGTTAACCCTAAGGCAAATCATATCAACAAGGAATCCTAAGAAAATTTAAAAATAAAGTTACTTGGGCTTACAGCAAAGTAAAAAGTAGGAAGGCAAAGAACCAAATCATTTAAATAAGACTTCTATCTTCTGCCTTTACAAATTATTTTTTTTTTTACAAAAAAAATGTTTCTGGTTGATAATTTTGACAATTATTTAACAAAAGCACATAAGTCAAATCATGACACATGATATTAACAAATCAATATTTTAATGGTCCTTAAACATGAATTGAGCACATACTGTAATACAGATTTTCAACCATGTGACTATCATGGATTTTATAGGAAACACTTAAACATTCAGGGATGTTTAACTTTGGTAGTTTCACCAAGAAAAATGAAACATTTACTCAAAGTAACCCTTTTAGTCATATATAAATCCTGATTTTCATATTGCCTATTTATAAAAATAACACATGTACAATGTATTTGGAGAGAAAAAAAAATATGGAACTGTAAGAAAAGGGAAAGTATCATCCTAATTATGTCCCCATTTCACTCCCTAGAGATAACTACTCTCCGTATAATCTTTGAGGACTGCCTTTAACCTATTTCCCACAAAATCCACTTGAAAAGGACTATACTAAGGAGTTTTCAATTCATTGCACTATTTCAAGCTGGCTTGTGGCAGGAGAGCCATGGAGTTCAACCTAAATTCTGACTCAGCCTTGGGGAAAATCTACCATATTAACACGTGACCATCAGAAAATCAGATCTGTTGCCTTTCCCAATTCTATGAAATTTTGGGTCTTCTTCCAAAGTGAAGCAAAAATATCTAGAGATCTTTTATTATTATTATCTTGAGGCATCCTTAAGTTATAGGAGTCTCATATGATTTTAATTACCATATTATATAAAACTTACCTTTTATTTTTTTCCTCTTCTCAGCAAAGAGCCTCCAGTCAGGATTAAGGTCATCATACCCTGGCTAAATAAGAAAAATATAAGACTGAGACAATTATGGAAGAAAGCTGTGAGAAAAATCAACAACTATGGATTTTTATATATATATAAGATGTAAAGATAATATTTTTCTTTGATCTCTTAGTTACACCTAAATTAAATTTATCCTTCTCTATAGCAGCTCTGGTAGCATAGTGGCTAAGTCACTTGCCTGCTAACCAGACGGCTGGCGGTTCAAACCCACCAGCCACTCCTCGGAAGGAAGGTTGGGCA